ATCAGCAGCATCGAGCAGAAGACTTCTGCTGAGAGCAACGAGAAGAAGATAGAGATGGTTCGAGCCTACCGGGAGAAGATCGAGAAGGAGCTAGAGGCCGTGTGCCAGGATGTGCTGAGCCTGCTGGATAACTACCTGATCAAGAATTGCAGTGAGACCCAGTACGAGAGCAAAGTGTTCTACTTGAAGATGAAAGGGGACTATTACCGCTACCTGGCTGAAGTGGCCACTGGGGAGAAAAGGGCGACTGTGGTGGAGTCGTCTGAGAAGGCCTACAGCGAAGCCCACGAGATCAGCAAGGAGCACATGCAGCCCACCCACCCCATCCGGCTGGGCCTGGCACTCAACTACTCCGTTTTCTACTACGAGATCCAGAATGCCCCAGAGCAAGCATGCCACCTGGCCAAGACGGCCTTCGATGATGCCATCGCCGAGCTCGACACTCTGAACGAGGACTCCTACAAGGACTCCACTCTGATCATGCAGCTGCTCCGAGACAACCTAACGCTCTGGACAAGCGACCAGCAAGATGACGACGGCGGCGAAGGCAACAATTAAGGCCCCGGGTGGACTGGCAGCGCACGCCGATGCTACTACTGCAGTCTTTATTTTTTTCCCATGAGTTGGGGGTCGGGTGGGGGAGGGGAAAGGGAGGGCTCACCTTCCCAGGGAGAAACCCACGACTGTCCTGTCTTTGATCGCCTCTTTGACATTTTTGCCAAAATACCACTAGTGGAAAGTCAGGCTTGCTGTGCTGGTATCGGAGCTGCAGCCTCACACAGGCACCCGGACTGCCGTGCAAGTGGAGCTGTCTGCCTTTAGTTTAACTTATTGTAGACGGTAGGGTTTAAGATGAGAAGAGAAACCGGAAATGGATGGCCCTCATTCAGTGTGTTCTGTGGTTCCAGTAAGAATTCTACTGTCCATACTCTCGTCTTCAGTTCTGTAGCTGTTTTCTCTCTGTTGTGGCTGTGCTGGGTTTTTTGTTTTTTTTCTTTTCCCTTTCCCCAGGGTGATCTCTACTAGAGAAGGCTAAGTTACCCAGGCTTAGACAGGCTTAGAATGGAAGACACAACCTTTGATGGGTCAGCCTGGCCCTGTTTTCAGAAGTATGATGGGTTGACAGTATTAACACTAAATTCTAGTTTACAGTATTTCTACATGACAGCCATACACGACATGAAGCCATTGGTTCTGAGTTTTCCTTTGTCAGCTCAGCTTTGCATCCGTATCCCGCTGTATCCAGGTTGGTCTGACTGTTCTCAGCTACTTTACATGTTGAGAATCAGAACTGCCTTTGGGGTTTTGGTTAATGGGTGTTTGGCAGGTAGCTGGCTTCGGGATACTTTTTTTTTTTTTTAAGTTCTTTACTCTTTCAGTTAAACCCACCACAAAATAGAAGCACCACACACAGAGAAAATGGAGAAAATTCAGGTCTGTCTGTCATTTCTCATGTTGGTATTTTCAGAGACACTGCTCTCCAGCAGACAGGGCTCCCTCCTCAGTCACTGCCTGTCGTCCATTTCTTGGCACTGGGTAACCCCGCACACCTCGTGCTGTCAGCATGCAGGTGTCTGGAGGCCACTGGATTGTAGAGGCCAGTGGTTAGAGCGAGAAAGGTGGAGCATCAGTTGCAAGCAGCTGAGCCAACGGGAAGCCCACTGGGAAGAGCCAGCTTCACTCAAGCCTGTCCAGTGTGGGAGCCTGGTCCCCAAGTCAGTTGTCCCTGCCACCACTCCCATCACCCAGCACTCCTTTTCCAAATGCTTGGTGGAGGGGAGCTGATATTTAGAGGGGTGCCATGTGCGCTCCGCCTGTTTGAGCTAAGCTTTCCTGGCTTTTCCTTTTGAATGAGAACGTAGATGCTGGAGATGGCTTCTCTATCGTGAGGTCACACTGCACGTGTGACACTGAAGGAAGCTATGCTGCTGTGCCCTTCATGGTCCGTCTCACTTAGCCCCAGGCCCCTCTTTTTCTCTGTGGATAAATTATCCATAAAATGCCTTGTTGCATGCAGAGTGTACGCTTTCTGTCTTCTAAAGGATCCATGGTCCTATGGATTCCCAAGATGGGCAACACCCCAAACTTGCTTTCCTCGTGTTCAAAGACCTGGCAGCCACCTTCTCTCATACCAAAACCAAGCTCCCACTTGAGAAGTGAGTATGCTCAACAGGATGCCGGTCATGTGGCTGTAGAAGAGTGACTGTCTCTCAGCACAGTCCTAGCATGCCTTTCCTCAGAGGCCCCTCTTGCTAGTGAGCAAGGACCCACTACCCGAGGCCCATGGAAGAACCGAGGGGGGGAGCTTGGGCACCAGAGCCATGGACGGGGTCAGTGGGGCTTTGCCTAGTTTGTCTCTGTGTCCGCAGTAAGCATGTCCTTGTCCCACTTGTCCTGTTTGGAAATGACCTACTGGAATTGCAAAACCTAGTTTCTCTTTAAATTTCAACCTTGACCCTGGCTGTGTTGTAGAAGGATCTTGTGAGAGGGTAGAACTGAAGAGGGAAGAGTGGGACGTTCCTTCCCCTTCCCTTTACTGTTGAGAAGCGCACCTGCCTTTGATGCTGTCTCCAGTGCCGCGGTTGCTCCTCCATCCTATTGATACAGTGTTGTGCATGCTGGTGTTGTATTTCTATACGGTAGCTTGACATTTATTAACTTATACTGTAGGTGTTATGTATTCCTATGACAAAAAAAAAACAACTAAGACTTCAAAATTTTTAAATTTTTTTTTATTTAATTTTTTTCCTTTCAGGGGTAAAGTTTGCTTTACCAAATAGTGATTGTAACAAATTGATCTGTTTTGGATGTTGCTATAGTGACATGCAGTTCTATATTTTGTTTTTCAGGGGGGAGGGGACAAAAGAAACACCAGTGTTAGCTTACTCTTAATGTCTGGTGTTTGTCATGGTGAAACTATAACTATTACAGTGTAGGAGAACGCCACGACGTTCTCTGAGTGCGCCTCCGTGCTTTCTCGTCATGTATGATGCAGTGAACTATTTTTAAGGTCTAATCAAGTGATATTTTTTTTTCCCCCCTCAACTCCGTGTTTCGCTAAGGAATTATTTCGCACACGGACCATTCTTAGCAGTTTTCCTCAGTGATGGAATATTCATGAATGTGAGTCATTATGTAGCCGTCGTACATTGAGCAAAATAAACGCACAGATCTGATGTCAGCGCTACCTAGCTTCATTTAATAGGGTTTAACTGCTTTGTTTTTAAAGGTTTGATTGGAAGTGGGTGTCCTCCACCCCCACTCAGAAATGAGGCTGGGTGGTGCTGTGGGGGCATGATAATAAATAAACTCAAGGCTGGGGGTGTAGTTCGCTGGTAGAATACTTGTCTAGCAGGTGGGTGGATTTAGGTTTGATTCTCTCTCTCTCTCTCTCTCTCTCTCTCTCACACACACACACACA